AAAATACATGCAAAAAGCCCAGCATGAATGTTGATACAGGACTTGAGACAATAGTATTTTTTATTTCCACTGCTAGGTAATGTGAAGAAAACATTGTATAGTGTCACAAGTGAACAGCAACTTACACACAAGTTAAATTACCAATAAAATGTAAACATACAAAAATGTGTCAATATAGGCTCAATTAATTACTTTATGTTACTCAGCCTAGGAATACTGAATAATACTGACAAAATGATTGATTGTGTTCATCACCATTTCAGTATAATGATTTCAAATTTTCTTTTGATGACTTACTCCACTGTATTCTGCTGCATACACAAAAATTTACCTAACGTTATCACCAACATATCATGAAATATTTGTCTGAAACTTTTCCAAGCTGCAAAATATGTAATGGGACAAACATAAAAGTCTTGAAAGTACAGTAGTAGCTATGATGGTAAACAACTGTGTATTAGTAACCATGGGTCTGTCGTGGCTGCGCGGTCTGAGGCGTGGGCCTTGTGCCGCTTGGTCGCTGGTACCGTGGGTTCGAATCCCACTCAAGCCATGGATGTTTGTTCGCGTTTTTCTGTGTTGTGCTGTCCTGTGTACAGGTAGAGGCCTTGCGACGGGCCGATCCCTTGTCCAAGGAGTCGTACCAAATGTCTACAGATCGAGCCAACAAAAAAAGTTGGGACCCGCAGTGCTCAGGCACTTGAAGAACGGGCTGTTCCCAGTAATCCCCAGTATGTATGCAGACAGAGTGTGAAAGTATGAAGACTAATTTTAAACAGCTGAAAGTAAAACAGGAAGCATATTTTCAAAGTTAAAAATGGCAGTGTGGAATAAACTTAATATCATGTTTCAATACCAATACATAGGATTTCCAAAGAAATTCACAAGCCGAAGTTATTGGAGAACTAACACTAACTGATCTCATCATTTATCACAATTGACAATGTCTTTTATTATGTCATTTTAAACATTCTATATTGTATACATCCTTCAGACCTTGCAAGTTGCAGCTCCATCTAAGATACAATCATTCATACTAATAACTCTACCTCAGATGACTCAGTTTAACCCTCTGAAGAGCAAAATTCATCAAAATAATATTTATAAATTCTGTTCCTACTACAAAAAAAACACTGTGAGCAAGATTCAGAGTTGCCGAATGTTGAAGCAGGTGGTATAAATAACTACCACTATACTTCAAAAGGTTAAGTCAAGCTGAAAACCAAATTAAAACGTAATACACAATACAGCATGTTCACTTATAAGCATTACAAACATAATGTGAAACTGATGTAAGGATCATGGGTGAGGAACATGATTATGTTAGCGTAATGTAAATTGCAAATGAATTTATGACTTAGAACCTGATAACCTAAATAAGGTTTCATGAAATTGTTTAGCCTATTTTACTGTTACCTCTGACAATACTTGTCCTAGGGTGAACATACCAAAATACTCTCCACAGAAATCCATTGTCCATTAAATGAAGCAAATAATTTAAAACACAAGTAAGTAAAACAATTAATAAAAGGTACAAAAGGGTACCATACCTACATTAAGTACAATATTTAAAGCTTATAAGGTAAATAAATATACAAGGATAGGAATGAAATGGTGAACAACAAACATCCCCAGCACGACAGAGACCAGACGAACTGTTAAAAGAAACCGACATCCCCAGCACGACAGAGACCAGACGGACATGTTAAAAGAAACCAGCTGGGGGCACAAAAATTGATATAAAGAGTAGAGAACAAATACAATATCAACAATCCCACTTAAAATAAAATACACCATAATTAGGAAATGTGGACATAAACCAGAGGAACACATATAACGAATGATAATACACAGGAGTGTGTTGTACAGTGGCCTCTTTTGTACAGTACTGTAGTAAAAATATGTTTCAAGATATGTGCTAAACTGTAATTATAATACAGATAAGATATAATGGCTGCTGTACAGACATGACCTAAGAGTTCTTCTCAATCCTTTTAAAACAGCTGACCAGCAGCATAAGAACTGTGTACGAATTTTTATCATAGTAAATCGGTCTTCATAAATTGTTTCAGTCTTTTTCTATGGCACAAACATTATCAATGGTCTTATACAAAGAATGCATAAATTAATTATAATGATGATAGACTACATTATGACTAGAGTGTGACCAGCGTCAGAAGTTTAAAAGACATTAGACCAATGGTATTCACTGTAATTCACTGGTGCCAAGGTAAAGGAGTAGGCCTACAGATAAAAATATTACTATTACAATTACAACCAAAGTTTAACTGCTCCTTTAGGGCCTATATTTTACAGCACACATAATTTACCAAGCCTAGAACTTCAGCATTAAGTTTATGTCTAAAATGGATAATTATATTTGTATACATTTTCTTAAAAACACTAAACACAATTTGTGAGGACTTTCTGAAATTGTTTTTTATTTCATGAACAATTAATTTCACCTTGGCATCAATGAGTTTTGTCATGGTATTTTGTTCAATAATGCTGGCCAGAAAAAAACAACTTTTTTATGCTCAGGGATTACCAACCAGGATCAATTCCTACCAGAGGAAAGGATTTCTCTTTCAGTTAGTCTAAAATGCCTACCCTCTTTCCAACCAAAATGTGAAGCTGGCCTCTCACCTCCATTTTGTGTTGAGGTTAACAATGTGTGTAACTTCATTTGTGTGCCTAAACACAGGGATAATTTTACCTTTTTATGGAATTCTAAAATAAATGTATAACAGCTCCTGTACGTCTCTCCAACATGCCAAATTTTCATTTTCATTTGAATTATGTAACACAATTAAGGACCAGAATTAAGGTAACAGTAATTTACTCTGTAATTTTGACACGTATAAATTTATATTCTGTAACAAATATGTTTGTGTAAAATAAAATATAAATGCAAATTTGAGGACTTGACACATTAAATTATAGTAAAATGGAAGTAAGATGGTAGCTTTGTTGATAGTGATAGAAATCAAGTCAGAATAGTAGTGGCTGGGTAAGATGCATCTGTAGGTCAGAAATGTCCTGAAGGCTAAAAAGTGGTCATCACCTTCCCCAGAAAATCTACATGTATATGAATGCAAGTAATTCCATTAAGCAGAATCCTTCTTGAGAAGCTAAGTCACACAGCTAATTAAGAAATTCCCCCATTTTATGAAATCCAAAGGTTCATTAGCATGTTCACAAGAGCCCAACACTGCTTCTTATTCTGAGCCAGATGAATCTAATCCACGTCTTCTCACCCTATCCCTCTATGATTAAATTAATATTATCCTCCCAACTGTGCTTAGATATTCCCAGTGGTCTCTTCAGGCTTTAAAGCTAAAATCCTGTACACATTTCTCATCTCTCCCACGTGTGCTACGTGAACCACCCATCTCACCCCCTTCATGTGACGATCCTAATACTTGGTGAAGAGTACAAATTACTGAACTTATCATTATGCACTTTCTCCAGTCCCCTGCCACTTCATATTTCAAATGTCAAATACTCTCCTCAGCATCATAGTTCTCAAAACACCCTCAATCTGTATTCCTCTCTTAACATGACAGACCAAGTTTCCCACCCATATAAAAGAAGAGGCAAAATCAGAGTTTTGTATACTAGGATCTGAATGTTTTTAAAACTGCATAGTAAAAAACCTCTCAAATTTAATTTATCATGTGAATATAAATTTTATTTATTATCGTCATTCCCAAATACTTAAACTTGCCACATTTTTAAAGGACTTATTACCTACTTTTATATTATGATTTTCTCCTGTCATCTGGTGATAAGACATGAACAAAATACTCAGATTTCTGTGTTTACTTCTAGATCAGCTTCCTTGCTAACATCCAGAGGACCTTCTGTGATTTTCCTTATTATATTAACATTCCCGCCCAATAAATACACAATACCAGAACAGATCAGAAGCTCATGTGTCCCATTCAATTCTAACTTCCTACTGGCAAAAGTAAAAATCAATTTGATAAAGCATCTCCTTATTTCAGACCACTCTAAATAAGAAATGAGAATATGTATATAAATGTGTATAAGTTTTTAAAACTGGAGATTACTTAGAGGTAAATAACAAACGCACTGATTCACTTCTATCTGGCAGTTAACTGCCCTGTTTTTCAAACTTGCATCTATTAATTTCAAAGGTAAATTTGTCCCTGTAACTACATAAGCATTGCTGCACAGACACATTCATTGTAAACCACAGCAACAGATGGCACTGAGTGATCAGTTACATGAAGAGTTCCCAGCATCCACTGTCATTAAAGGCTGCATGGATCCAAGTGTCAATATTAACACCGTGGCAACATTAATTAACTTTGCTACAAGTACCCTTAAATAAACTGATACATAAACAGAATTTCTACTTTAATCTTCAAGAACATTGACTGTTCTTCCACTCCTATCATTAGAGTTACATGTAAAGAAAATATATGGATGTCTGTTTCTTTATCAGTCTGGGCATTTATAAACTTCTTTCCGACCACTAACCACAGGTTGGAATGCAAAGAATTAATGTTCTCTGAATGCCACACCAAAATTTTGTTGTGGTCTGCAACAAATCACTGGTACAAAGGGGTGTGAGCTACGTAATTATGCGTTATCAACCGCAGTTACTGAGCTACACTAACTAAGACAATCCCAGAGCAAAGATCCATTTTCTAAATCATACATCTGTGACAATTCATTAACACTTAACACGGTGAATACCAATGTTCTAATATGTTTCATCTTGCTATTCTCAATTTTCACAAGCCAATAATTGCAAAGTGCATCTGATTAATAATCTTCAGTTCACTCACATTCATAAATGAGAAATAATGATCAAAACAATATAAAGCCAAGTAATAAAACCATGGCATAGCTGAAAATTATCGAAGCAGCAGTATAAGGAATATTTTTAGTACTGACTTAATTCAAATAACAATACCTGCACTGGCAAACCCCCAGGATGTTTTGGCAAAACAAACTTTTAATAGGGGTCATGAAAAGCCATGCCAATCTAGCTGCAAAACAAAGTACCTATATACTTCAATCTGTCCTTGAATGTCTGTAACAAAAGAAAACTACTTTCTATATTCCAAGACTAGACCTGCTTCATTGCAAATAAAGAAAAGAATGGCTTCTGGCAATGTTTGGCAATATTCATGGCACATCATCAGATTACAAATTAAAGTTTGATTTTCTTTTGCAATTACATTTGACTCTCATAAAAATATTTAACATAAACTAAAAGGCAAACAGAAATTTAGTTATAAGAATTTTCAGCATATGTCTTTCTAAGATGCAGGAGCATTGGATAATGAATATTCTCATCATAATCACAACTTTGTTTCAATTTTAAATGCCTATTCCAAACATGTTCATTGTAATACTGCTTACTCTTGCAATGAAACCCTCTCATTTTAGCTTCTTCTGCAAATTTTTCATATGTATGCCCCCTTCGTGGAGCCATCACAAAAGCAGTTCCATCCTCATTCAACATTGTCCAAATAGTTTCAATAAGATCCTGACGAGCTTCATCGAAGAATAAGCAGTCAGCAGATAATATAATGTCATATGTTGAAATGTGATTACCAACGGGTTTGTCTTGAATATCCCCCCACTGCAAGACAGAGCATGCAGCACAATCCCCTAAACCATTCTGCTTTACAATGAACTGTACGTTATCAATGGCTGATATATTTCCATCAGTGACATGGATGTTTGCTGCTGTTGTGTATTTGGCCACCATGAGGCCAGCAAGGCATGTCATTCCTCCCCCTAGCTCCAGAACCGTTTTACCAGAAAAATATTGCAAGTTGCATAGAATGTAGTAAGCCAGCACTTCTTCTGATGGCCAAACACATATATTTCCAGTATTGTTGAATCCAATGAGCTCAGCTGCAGTGAAACTTCGTGTAGGATGTCGAATATTCAAGGAATATGTATTTTGTGATATAGTTGCAGTATATTCAAACCACGACGCAGCAGGATCATCAGTGCCGTTGTTTAGTATTATGGGTCGGGATGTTACGAGATCAAATGTTGTGAAACGTCGCACTGATATGATGTCGTTAACATTTGTTGGTGTCGTATCAATGTCACTGGTTTTTTGTAATGCCCGAGCCAAGATCTTCCAGCGGCGTCGAGCAACTTCATTTCTATTCTTGTGATGTTGCAGATGTACTTGCTGTTGTTGGGAGCCATTACATACAGCAGACATTGCTCAGAATTCATCAACATTCAAGCCTCTCCCCTTACCAATAATAGCACCCATTTCCCAGATGCTCTTTACATAGTTTTGTAAATTATCACAGGGCTGTACTGATGAGAGAGGATGGTTATTTTTAGCCTGGAAGGAGAAAAACCTGTGGTTACTCCTTCTTTATACAGTCAATGGTAAAGGATAAAAAAATTACTGTGCTCATTTACAACCAGCAGACTAAGGCCTACATGGACACACAAGGAAAAGAGAGGCACATATATTTTGTCTTATTTTTCACTGAAGATTATTATATGGCAGAAAAAAATAAAATAAATTTATATGCAAGACAAAATTACTAACAGTAGGTTGAAGAAAAGAAATGCCTTTCACTTATTTCATCTCTTGAAGACAACACTGACATGAAAATTGTTTACATATTTTTTTTCAATTCCATAAATTAAATAACTTCTTTTATGCAGAATACAACATATTTTTCTTCATCCTCTAGTGTTACTAAATCACAGTGGAAGGAGAAATATGTTTGGTTATACTATACTTAACATTCCAGAGTTCTTAAGTTTATTATTCATTTGCCTCTAATTCATGCTATGTTAATTTAGACCATGTAGTTGAAGTATGGTACGATTTGCACATACATCAAAAGCAAGTCATAACTGTACCTTCACTGTTCTGAAGTGACCCTCATCATGTCTACATGCAGGAATCAATGCACAGTGAATTCTTAGTGGGTTGTAAGACAGTACAGGCATAATCAACAATGAAAACCATCCACCAAAACATCACAATCAACAGTGAAGGGTTTTTTTTTAATTTCAAAGTAGGTTACTAGTTTATACCCAAGAACATTTGTCACATACATTCATTTGTGATCAGAGAAAATGCAGTGTTAGCATCAACATTTTCTAATAGTGTGCATACAGAACGTTTGTGAAAAAATACCATTTATATAATCTAAAAGCAGGTAGTTTACAGTTTCAAAGGATTTATATCCACTCTAGTCAAAAAATAAAGTTTCTCTAATATGATGAACCACACTAATTTTAAGACTTTCCTTTCTCCATTGCATATACGTGAAAAATAATTTAGAATACATTTTGTTGACTTGACAAAGAGTACAGAATTTTGGATAAGAAATGAGTTCCTCTCCACAGCCACTTTGTTTGGTACACTGCCCACAGGGCATGCACAATGTTTTGCCAGGGTTATTAATTATTGGTATTTCCCGTCATCCCCAGCCATTTTTCTCTCCATCACATCATTCCAGCGATAAGAAGCTTATGCCAGAAAATAAAACATATTCTTTAAAACAATTAACTTTATTCCTAATCTCTTCTCTCTGATGATGACAGAAAATAAAACATATTCTTTAAAACAAGTAACTTAATTCCTAATCTCTTCTCTCTGATGATTGAAATAACAAGCCTGCTACAGTGACAGAGAATTCTGGAAATTCAAAAATACTAATACTTTTTCTGCAACATCCTCATTACAAAAATATCTTGTTATTAACAATAATTTTTATGCCATTCAGAAGACAAAGAGCAGGAAATTTTGATACTAACTCTGAACTTCTGAAATTAGTATGTGAATTTTCCTGACTCAACTGATAAAGGAAAGCATTCTTCTCTTCACCTGCAAATTTGTAGTGCATCACATCATTATAAAATGTCAGTTATTTCACTGCACTCCACCATATGCATTCTATTAAAATCATCAGGTCGCAAATCCACGTAGACTGACACCTGTTTCATCAAAGCTTATCAGAGGCAGATGTGAATGTTCATAACACTCAACACTGTACTGACAAAATTACCTAAAAGTAACTTCATCAGAAGTTGAACAAGAAATTCCTCTCTTTCTTTGTTCCTGAAATCTTTAAAGTAATAAATTGTATTGGCCCATGGGTACATGTCTGTACTGGCAGCTGAGTGGGAAAGTTTGGAAAGCTTGATAAACCAGAACTTCCAAATCTCCTTATCATCCACTAGTTGGGTTTTAAATCCCTCATCTATGATAGGTAGATTCAAATTAGTATCTTAAAAGTTCTCACACCTCAGAGAAACATCCCTGACTGGAACAGTTGGAGACACCTCGTGCCACACGCTTTGTCCCTTAGCACCATTCTTCCACAACTGACAAGAAGCCAAACTGTGATAAGGGTTTGAAGTAAAATGCAGGTCATGACCCATGTGTGCCCTGGCTTAATTTTCTGATGTTTTGCCCAAGCAAAAAAATTGTAACTTGAAACTTTTCAGTTCTGGCTAACTACAATGTCAGGTAAAAACGGTCTGAAGCCAGCAACAGTTAAATTATGGCCCCACAGGTGTTCAAAATTCAAACTGCCTTAATACTTGAATACTTTCCCAGCTAAATAACAAAGAAAACCAAACTGTAAAATCATACAATAATTTTGTGATATTTACTCCACTGAGCTCAGACTCAAACCTCATGCTCTAGGTTGCTTGGGCTCTGGACTGCTACATTCACCTTCAGGGTTCAAATAAAACTATCATCCAGCCGTGTGAGATTAAATGTGTGAAACATGAGGTTCTCGTGGTTGTAAAGTGTGCCAAGGCATCATAACCCTAATGACCACATTTACGTGGTCTTCAGGGACATTTAGTTCTGTACGTGGTTACCAACACTTTGGAGAAATGTACTGCCTTTATCTCCAATCCTTATTTTCACAGTGATAATATTTTGGGTCAAAAAAAATGCCACTCATTATTAACATTATAGAGTTGTCAACATTACTATTGCAGTATCTGTTTCATAAACCACGGTGGACAGATTCTTCTCAAATACGAGATTCATCCTGTCCCAACTGAGATTTAAAAAGGAAGAGAATTTTTAACAAGATATTTTCATTCTGTAGCATCATAAAATATTTGATACAAGACAATAAAGAGTACAGAAACACGTGACTGACATTTATGTTTAGGCCTATGTGTTACTGACGTATTAAGGCAAGAGACAGTCAGCACAGCATCCCAAAATATTGTTTAAATTAAATTTAATGTGAATTAAAGCATCTCCCTGAAAACACATTATGAAGTCTCCAATTGTGAACAGTAAATTTTCTTAGTACAACATTTCGCCATACTGGACATAATCAGTAGACTCAAACTAACAAAACATGCATATATAACATATAATAAATAACAATGTAATTATTAGTCACTACAGATCAAGTTCACACACTCCAGTGCATCAACAGTAATCTTCAATAGCCTAGTATCTTCACATAACAAACATAGCCCGCTCACCCATCATCATCACAACACTGCACTAACAGAAACTACATTCCAAAACTTTAAGACATCAATATTGTTAAAATGCCTACTGAAACGTCAACAAGTGATAGTACATCCTGACCCAACACTGAATGCACATCTAGCTGCAACATGACAATTGACCAAAGTTATAATTAAGTTTTAGTGTTTCTGACGAGTGACAGTGCCTGCTAGACCTACACATACCTAACATGAACATATATGGATGTAGATACGTATACATGAACATATCAGCAACAGCAAAATCAAGTTTTGGTGTATTTCACTCTTTTACCTTTCGATCAAATTCTATTTAACAAACTGTACCTGCCAAACAATAACATTCTATACCTGCTGTTTTTAGAACTAATTTTAATGTACACAACAAAGTATACCGCATGAATAGTAAAAGCCTGAAGAGGGAAACTTCAGTCAAATCTTACCCCCTTAAAAAAATTATAAATGAGTGCACAAATGAATGAATTTATTTATTACTTGTTGTGTAAAGACGGAGAACCAGTGATATTCCACTTATTTTAAAAATATCATCCTAGTTTTGATAAACTTCATGGGGTTTCCACAGGCAAGCACCTGTAATGGCCAGCAGCAAAACTGTCTCACGAAAACAAGAGCCGAGTTCAATTCTGTAAATTTAGATGCAAAAGAATTGTATTTCACTGTATAATCCACCATCAGACTAGTTTCCAAGTTTACAAAGTTTCCACGTGTTACATCTAAGGATATTACTTTCATTAAATTCATAAAATCAACAGAATTTAATCACCAGCAGGTAAATCGATTTCTTAAAGATAAAAGAGGCAGAACATGTGAATCTCATATAGAGAAGTTTGATATTAAAGCAAAGGTGAAATGTTAAAATGGTTTTACAATCTTACAAGTAAAATCTTCATGACACTGGAAATAAAAGGCATGGAATTACAAAGTTTATCAACGATGGCTGCATTCATGATCTAAGTTTTCTGGGAAATCTGACAGCTTAATTACATACTTAACATTTAAGCCTTTCGTGAATGGAACAGGTCAAGGTTTAGTGGATTATTAGAATGACTTGATAGATATGGCTTAAAAATAACATTTATGTACAAGCAAGAATATAAAACGGCTTCTGGAACGAGTGCCAAAAAGAACAGTCTACATCAGATAAAAGTACAAAATTGCAGTTTACATCCACTGTGCTACCTTAGTCTGAATTTAGCCACCAGTGATGCTTATTCAATTGCTTCAATCAGAAATTGCATACCAATTGTCAATAGATTTCTGAAAATTCTTGCTTCTCCACCTGTTATCAAACCTCATGAGCGGTCATTTTCAAGATTATGTTGGCACAAAAGGAACTTAAGGAGTAGGTCTATTACTGAAGAAAAATAATTAAATGGAATCAACATTCACACACAACCACATAGAGAGAGTGGCATTTCAAATGGCAATAAGATTTGAGGTTCTCATGGTAGTGAAGATGAAAATGTTCTTCTGGGTTGTGACACCACATAAGCTCATAGATAGATACCAACATTTCCGAAAAGAGGTCACTGCTGCCTCCAACAAGCACCCTGATGATGGAGGCAGCATCGACGTCTGAAACGTTGGTAAACTTCTACCAGACTACACTGCGCTACAACCCACAAGACGGCCATCTTTGGACTCACCGCGGTGGAAACTTCAAATCCTATGTTTTGGAAAAACATTGTTTCCATATTCTGGGGTTAAGTGACTGTGTTAGGAAGTAGAGTTTGACCCTACACAAACTATCCACTTCAGCCCTGAAGATGGAAACAGTATGTCTGTCCAAAAATCCTCGCCATTACATACTTGTAATTATGCTACTGAACTCAG